ATTAATTTATAATGTTTTTAAATAGTTAGTATGGTATTAAAAATATTTATTTATAAATTAATTTTAATTTATTAAATAATAAATATTAATTATTTTATTTATTATTAATTATTTTTAATAATTAAATTAAAATTTGAATTTAATAATTATTAATAATATTAACAAATTAAATAATGAGCATAACAATAACCAATTATTAGCTCTCTTCTTCTTCTTCTTTTATTTTACCTTGGACTTCTACTAATAAGTAATCGTTGGATTAAAAGGAACACCATTTTTTGGAGTCTGGACAATTGTGAGTTTATCTTGTAAGTATTATTTTGTCCTTAAGTTTAAAGTCACAATTTAGAAGGCTATTTTTTTTTTTTTTTCTCTAGTCAAAGAAAGTAAGCAATTGGTTTTATTTATAATAAAGTATCACGTTAAAGAAAAGAAAAAGAAAGATTCTTCTTTGAGAAAGAAACTCGGATTTTATAGAGGGGCCTTGATAAAGCCTCTCTATTAATTAAGTTTAGGATTCTGTTGGACGTCCAAGTCGTATAACTCAATTTGCATAACAAAGCTTAGGTTAGTCTAGTCAAAGTTATACATTAAAGAAGGGTCTTCGCAATTTCTCGTGGCAATCTTCTAGGGGGCAACCCGTTGGTTAACGAGTAGCCATCCTATTTTAAAAGAATGGATGGCGAGGGTGCCGACATCTTTGACTTAACATTCATAAATTAATTTTGTTTAAAAAAACAAAAAAACAATAACGTTATCTTAACTAATTAAATTAAATATTTCATACAACTAAAATTCTTTTAATTTTAAATTTTTTTAACATATTTAATTATAAATTATATAAAAAATAATAATAATCTCATATTTTCAAGTTTTTTTTTCACCTTAAAATTTTAAATTTTTAACAGTTAAATCACCCTATTAAATCTTAATTTATATATATAAAGCTTACTTATGTGTTCTCACACCACCTAGGTGGTGATTGGGTTAAGTAATTTTTTTATTTTTAAATGAAGTACACTATCATAGGGGATGGATTTACAAATTGACAATATATAAACACTCTTTTTTGAATTGGCCTTCTAAAGCCAAGGTGCCAACTTTGTAAATAAATATCAGCTAATGGTATGTGAATAATTTATTTTATAATTTTTATATATTATTAAAGAAATATAGATATATTATTTTTAATGTTAATAAAATAAAAACAATAAGTTATTAAATAATATATAGTAAAATATAAAAAATTTATATATAAAAGTTAATTACTTTAAAATTATTTTCCCAAAATATGTGTACATATATGCATATGAAGTGCTTAAGGAAGCTTAGGGAATGTAATGGTTGCAGGTGACGGAATGAAAGTTGTACTCACAAAGCCGCTGCCATTGGATGCAGAATCAGATGCTGATTATAAAGCTCCTAATCTGCTGAACCGAATTTTAAGTCTCTTCAAAAATGTACGCCCAGGATCCGATCTCACGAGCTTCCAGGTTAGTCAACCTTCTGTTCTTGCCGCTCCCTTTTTCCTTTTTCCTTTATTTATTTATTTATTTTTTCTTTTACAAGAGACGAGTGAACAGCAACAGATTAAGAGATTGTATTTTACTTAATTATTAATAAAAAGATAAATTATTTTTTTATTAATGATTAATAAATTATATTTCTTAATATTTTTTTTTGTTTGTAAGAGATTGTAGAATTTGATAATTAATATGTTAAAAATTATATTAAAAAATTAAATATTTTTAAGGAATTAATATGTAAAGAAGATTTATTAAGCATATATGAATAATTTTATAAATAATCATGATATTTTAATTATTAGGATGACATCTTAATTTTTACTCTTTTTTTTAATGATGCTTAATAATACAATTATTATTGGGATTAATTGATGAGAGAAATGTGGAAGAAAATGTACTGTGGATGAAGTTAAGTTAGTGGTGTGATAACTCTAATATTCCTTTACAATAATTTTTAAAGTGCTAGTTAATATTTATAATTATTGTGGATGGCAATAATATATTTACAATACTACATATAATATAATTATAATATATAATTAAATAAATATATACATATAATATTATAAATAGACCTTCAAATAATATATCATAATTGTAAACTTGTAATATTAGATGAGATTATAAATATATCATTTTCATAAGATTTAAAATGTTTTCTAATAATGGTGTAAAAAATGGTGATTTAATTTTGAACTTTACCTTATCCTTAAGCAACGATATCTTTTACATTGTTCCTGTCTTAAAGGTGTTTGATAAAATGTCTGTGTAAGTTCAGCTACCGCCCCTCTTCAATTTCCCAAAGTCGCACCTTCAATGCTACGGCGAATCTGTTTATTGCATTGGCAGCGACTTGTTAAGCCAGTGCAACCGTGCAGAGAGCTCGCTGGACAGATTTACCTCCGTCGTAGCCTGGTGCATATCCACCGTCCGCCCTGTCGTGTTTGGGGTTGCCCCATACAACCCAATTCTTGGAGAGACTCACCATGTTTCATCTGGCTCTCTCAATGTTCTACTTGAACAGGTTCTTCTTTGTTCTATTCCACTCTTGACATTTCTTTCCTCAAGCAAGAAATCATTTAATTTAACAGCAAGCTAATGGGTGCAAAATTTTCCACAGGTTTCACATCATCCACCGGTTTCTGCTCTCCACGCAACTGATGAAAAAGAGAACCTCGAAATCATATGGTGTCAGTATGCTGTTCCTAAATTTTATGGTACTTGTCTCAACATTTTGTACTAGTTAATGTCATGATGCAATGCAACCATCAAGTCCTCTTTCTAGCGAATTTAATCTCTTGTTTGATCCGGGAATGCAATGTGTTGTAGGTGCTTCAGTGGAAGCAGTGGTGCGTGGGAAGAGGCAGCTGAAACTCCTCAGTAGGGCAGAAACTTATGAAATGAACTCACCAAAGCTTTCAATTAGGTTTCTTCCAGTACCGGGGGCTGATTGGGTTGGAAATGTTAAAATTAAATGCCCTGAGAATGGCCTTGAAGCTGATTTATGCTATGGAGCCACATCCTTTCTGGGGCTTAGAGGGAATTTGAAATCGATTAACGGAAAGATCTATGAAACATCCACAAAGAAGACTCTTTATGAGGTTAACGGGCAATGGGATAGGTATACAACTGCCTTAATGTCAGCCCTCTTGTTCTGTTATTGTTATGATGTATAGAGGAATTCAGTAATGACTTGACCTCTTTTGCTTGTGTAGAACTGTTAAAGTGAAGGACATCAGTAATGGAAAAGTCACAGTTATTTACAATGCAAAAGAAGTTATTTCAGGGTTGAAGACTGTTGCTGTCAAGGATTTGGAGGTAATATCTTTAACCTTTTAAGTCTTGATCTTGTGTACCCTTTTGAGGAATAGGAGTGCAGAACTTAGGATTTTGTTTTCCTCAGGGAGTATGGGCAAGTGAATCAACTGCAGTGTGGGGTGAACTGAGTGAGGCCATATTGAGCAAAGATTGGGACAAAGCAAGGGAAGCAAAGAAAATTGTGGAGGAAAAGCAGAGGAAGCTCTTGAGAGAAAGAGAATCAAGGGGGGAAACTTGGGTTCCTAAGCATTTCACTGCCAATTCCACAAAAGATGGCGATTGGGACTGCTCACCAATTCAAACATTGGTTCCACCAGCTCCCCTTGTTGTTCCCTTTTGATAATTTAATTCATTACAATCTTATTCTGAAATTTGAAACTGAAAGCAAGCAATCCTTTTAGTAGCCGCGTAGGCACACCAAAAATGAACAAATTCTCGAATGTCATAACAAATTCCCTATTAAAAGATAGATATTTATGTAAATTGCATCCAAATATCATTTCAGTTTGTACAAATGGGGATGAGAAGTTGACTATTACAACAATCAATATTATGCTATCTAATGCCAACAGAATAACTACTCTCCTAGCACTAATTTAAGAATCTGCAGTTTCCTGCAACTCCGATTCACTCCTTCGAGTGAATGATTTTTCTCTAATGGTGTCCAAGATTGGTTTCCAAGGCTGTGCCCGACTTAACCTGTTAGGACTCCTCATGGGGGACTTACATACAGAGTCCGAGAGATGGTAGTGATCTAATAAAGGAGTTGTCCTTGATGACTTTGTCCAACACCTTGCTTTCTTATTGAGCCTCTTTGCCATGGAGGCCAAGTCAAGATGAGAAATATCAGACTGAAAGATTGAGAAGGGCAGGAGGAAGTAAACATGACCCGGTTTCAAGATGGTGTCGGGTTGAAGAGGCTTTGGGCAACAATTAGACACAAGTTGAGCCGGAGTGCAGAGGAATCGATCCCCGGAACGGTCATTCCCAGTAACGTGGCTGACCGGAACAGGATTCTCGAATGCTTGTACGGAGCCGTTGAGGTGAACGACACGTATGACATGACTCTTGAATTTTGGCGATGAATGGCATGAGAATTTGCAACCCATCTTGCCTGCCTTCTTCTTAGTTAGTTCATCTACATTCAGTTGAAGATGGGCAGAATGGGATAATGGTATATAAAGAGACAATTTACCCACTTGGACCATTGCGTTAGATATACTCTAAGAAGACTTTGCCCGAGTGAAGCCTAATTGAAGTGACAATTTAAATTGATGTTCATGGATTGCAGTTAATTCGCAAATTGAAGCATTGGTGAGACACGTTACGTTTAGTAGACTAAATTCGCATCTTCAATTTCGTAAAAAAAATATCAATACAAAGACATTTAGATAAAATTACCTTCGCGTACCCTACGTTCTAATTTGAATAATAAGGTGAAGACCGGAAGAGTAAAAGGCACGGGATACCTCAATAATTGAGAAGATATTTTGGCCTATGGATTGACTGCCTTTTTATAGGCAAAATAGAACGCTAGACTCTCAACTTATGTTAAATTTTTAATTAAGTTTTTAAATTTTTGTTAAAATAAATAAATCTTTAAATTTAATAATTTTGATAGTTTAATTTTTTTTTATGATAGATTTAATATTTATTTATTTTTCATTTATGTAGATAATATATTGATAGATCATTATCTATGTAGGTATTGATCTTATCTATATAAATAAAATATAAATAAATATTAAATTATAAAAAAAATTAAATTTACCCAAAAAAATAATTAAATTATTAAATTTAAAATTTTATTTATTTCAATAAAAATTTAAAATTTTAATTAAAAATCTAAAATAAATTTGAGGGTGTAACATAGGGTCCTGCCTTCTTTAAGGTGGGTTGAAGGAGTCCATCAATGACTATGAATACTTACTTCTTGAATTTAGAGAGAGCGTGTGTTTTGGGCGTAGATGGAAAATGGTGGAGCCACAAAGACTTTGTTTCGAAGATGGAGGAATATAATATGCGCACTTTTTCTCTCAGATGGATGATACCTTGACCATTTTCAAAAGAGACACTGACCGTTTACTCAAAAAAGTAGTCTCTCCATTGCCTATTTTCAAAAAGAAAAAAGAGTAAGTGGTCTCTTGAAGCATTCATTTTCAGCGACTGGATTTTATAGATTGTGTGTGCCGTGTCTACCACGCCCAGTTGGATTTTAGATTTTATGCGTACCGTGTCAGTCATGCCTAAGCAAAATTTTGAATGTATCTCAGGCTTCATTTAGGATTACTGTACATTCCCATGACGGATGACTTTTCAAAGCGTTACCGGACAGCAATTCCAATGCTACCCAATAGTGGAGATGCACTAATTCTGACGCTACCCAATAATAAGATGCCCTGATTTTGCTGCTTTGCAAAGTGCTACAGCTAAACAAAATGACTTAACTGAAGGGTGTGACCTATTCTGTTGATCGGTACGTTGTTTACAGATTTTACTTGGGGAGAGCTCATACTCAACCCTGCACGAAATGTAATTTGGTTAGTGATAATTTCTTTTCTTTTTAGAATTTGAGATTTTTACTAATGAATTTAGATTGAGATGAAAAAAAAAAACAATAAATAATTACATTGTCCTACAATAAAACACATCATTGATTTTATTCATTTTGGTTGTTACTACATCACCAAATTCATCACATATCAATCTTGCTATCATCCAAGCCAATGCAAAGATCATGCAGAAATAGGTTATACTCAAAATAAAAATTACAACATTTAGAGGGGTGAGAACAATTCAGAAGCATGTCTCTTATTTCTATTTATTCTATTTTTTTACCCTTTTACCGATGAGTACTGTCTTCATCCTTTATAGGTATGGTATGGTGGGTAGCTCATCTTATCATCTCCAGCAAAGCTTCTGTATAAAACTGCCTTTTTGTGGCAAAAAATATCAAAAGAGAACTTTCCGTGGTATGAGCCCATTCCACTCTTCCCAACTCCACCGAAAGGTAAACCAGAGACAAATACCTGCAGAGTTTGTGTGGGATCAGGTATCAGTTGGATGCATTTTGCATGGATGAATGTCTAAATGCCAGAGGAACGAGTAAATAAATGCATTTACTTTGGACTCAATAGATTTCAGCATGCCACTTGACTAAATAACTAATAAAAACTACTCGATAACAGAAGCAATGTTATGGATGCTGAAATTCTTAGGTGATATTCAGTTCAATTGAATGGCTATTCCATGGTTTTGCGTGACAGTAAGGTAAAATAAAGCTCTAATAAACAAAATCATAGCCATGGCCTTTCCAACGAATTTAAGGAAGTGCGGAATTACATGTCTGCGGGTGTCATTGATGGTCATCCCCCCAGCAGATACATTTTGCACAAACTTCGTTTTTAGCTGCTCATCATCACTGAAGAGATATGCTGCAAGAGGTTTTGGCTTTCTGTTTATCACTTCAATGCTATCTTCCAAGTTTTCAACCTATCATATAAAACTAGGGAGAGTTAAGTTACTTCCACACATCCGGTATCTCACCCAGAAAGGAAAATTGAATCGAAAATTATTAACAAACTTGCCTAAAGCAAGTTGTTAAGTTTGAGAACTTGACATGGATTTAATGGTTGCAGTAATATTACCAAAAGAAAACACACTCACAGTTAGTATGGGAAGTAATGGCCCAAATATTTCCTCTTGCATAATAAGTGAGTCTTCTGGGACATTTAACAATATGGTTGGGGCAATTTGTCTGCAAAACAAAGTCAGATGTATAAATTGCAATCCTAAATGTCATGGGTTGGCTTGGACATTAAACCCAAAGGAGACATCATCAAACCCACAGTTGGCTTTCATCCCTCTGGCCTCCCAGGACAATTTTATCAGAGACCTTATCTTCATCCATGAGGTTTGCTAGACGTTTAAAGTGTGAAGAGTTCACAATGCGGGATCGATCTTTTGATTCCATTGGATCTTTTCCAAAGCATGCCTCCAATTCATTTCTTAGTGCCTCTATCTGTTGAGAGTAGGAGTTTCTGTGAAACACACTCATGCAATAGACAGTTTTATTTCTTAACAAAACAAAATCTTACCAACTTAGGTGCAAACTCTTTTGTTGTTATTATATAGTCCACTCCGATACAAATTTGTCCATTATTGCATGCCCACTTGCCTGCTGTAATCCTCCGGGCAGCAACCTTAAAATTATGGCAATCAGATTCATAGAATAGAACTGAAGATGGATGCATTGCTTACAATGGAAATAAATATTCTTACTTGTAAATCAACGTTTGAATCAACAATAGCTGGGCACTTTCCTCCAAGTTCCAGTACAACTGGTGTGAGGTGCTTTGCGGCTGCAGCCATTACAATGCGTCCAACTCTTTCCCCACCTACACCATTTAGGTGAGTTAATATATTGCCAAGAATTTAGCTGTATGTCACAAAAGAAAAAACTACTTCTAGGGAATACTTACAATTGGCAGTTAATGCAAAATAATGGAGCCTAAAGGAACTTCTTGAGTGTCTAGCCTATACCTAGGTGCCATATGGTGATTCATTTTAATTCCAAAAGGCCTTTGAAGAGAACATAATAAGAATAACTGTTCCACCTAGAACAACACTTGGACATTGAAAAATGAAAGTATAGGTAGCCACCAAAAACGATCCAAGCAAATGCACATCCTCAAGGTCAAGTACAATAGAAGTCAGTATTCATGGGGTTTGAAACTGCATGTCTTGTCATATTGAAAATTATTTCAGGAAAACCAAAAGAGTTATCTATATTTGAGAAATCATGACCGAGAAAGGGTATAAGGCAAAACCTGTAAAGAAGATTTTATCCCATTTTTGCTCTAATAATGCAGATGTCTCAGCTACAGAACCCTCAACAACTCTAATGGCAGAATTGTCGACATATTCCTCTAATAAATTTGAAAGAACTGATGACGTTGCTGAAGAAATTTCCGAGGGCTTAACGACCACAGTGTTACCAGCTGCAATGGCTCCAATGACTGGATCAAGAGACAGCACTGGGAAGATGCATAAAACATCTATCAGTAAATGAAAAGCCATTACCTGGATCAAGAGGTTAGGATTATGGCAGTGTATTTCAAAAACCAGTATAGCTAGGTTAAGATGTTCCATTAGTGAGTATAATGCCCTTGTAAAATAAAACATTAACAGATTAATAATATAAAGATGACCATTCATGAAACTTAGTGTACTTATATTGCATCACGTTAGATTGGCTTCGAAAGTGGATGCATCAATCAAGAGGGATGTAAAAGTAGTAGGTCTACCATTGAGAGATAGTAATAATCTATTAGGGAAAACATACCAAATACAAGACAAAACTACTGATGATAGTACTGAAAATTTTAGGTGCTAGAACCCTATGAAGTAAGCATTGTCAATTTAACCAGATTAAAAACATACGCACGTACAAAGTGGAAAGTTCCAGGGTGAGATGACCAAGACAACTCCTAGAGGTTCTGATACAATTTCTGCTGATGATAGAGACATAGTTGCTGAATTAGTTTGAACCTGAAACATGTTCATCAGAACTATGTATTAAGTCACCCCCAACAGTTACATATTAAGGATATATGTGGTTATTACAAATTTTACGTAGTTGAGCCTTAGGTTTTAGCAGCAATCACCTTTTCTGGCATCATCCAACCTTTCAATTGTTCAAGAATCAACTTACAGGAGGCATTTGTTATAGAAATCTGCATTGTAAAACAAATTACAGTAATTATTCGCCAAAATTAAATATCTAAGACAACTTTTGATGTTTTTCTATTTAAATTCTGAATATTACTTTGAAAGAAACTAGACAGCAAAGACGGATGCAAAAACCATTTAGAGAATGGTTCAAGGGAGAGGAAAAATTTTAATGTAAAAAAAAGAAAAAGAAAAAGAAAAATTAGTAAGCATTACAGACCTCCCAAAAAAAAGATTCGGGTTCTGGTTTCGCAAGGTCCTTATAAAGAGCTTCTACAATCTTCTTTTGGTTTTCTTCGAGCATCCTCATGATTCTCTGCAGTTGCACAACTCTCCATTCATAGCTCTTCGTCTTTCCTGAATGGAAGTTGTTTCGAAGGTCCTTAACTAGAGAAGCAGCTTGGTCTACATCAAATGCTTGCTTCTCTCCCACAGTTGCTGTCGAGAGTCTTGTGTGCAACAGCAAGATTTCCAAATAGTTGAAGATGGCCGGTTATGGCAGAGAGAGAAAGACAGGAAGAATAACATAATTAAGCAAAATTGATTAGAATAGCACACCTAAAGAGAGAGATGAGGAAAGAGGCATTACTGGTATGAAGATGAGAACTGGCTGCATCGGCGAACATTGTTGGTCTTGTATGTCAAGACTCCGCTTGCCCTACAATGATCCTTATTAATCATTAACATGAAACAATGGTGTAGTAAACTTAACAGCTACATAATCAAACAATAATCTCAATACATGACAAACTGTCATTAGTCAAGCTATAAATCATCAGTCATCAGCTATACCAGCTACCTGACAACAACCAGTATTAACTGAGTTTCAACCCTTAAAACAAACAACCATCACTACATTATTACAAAAAAAAAAAAAAAAACATTAAGATTTGCCGAAGCCACAGCACCCACTTCATCTATACTTTGGGACTTAGTTTTAGTTCCTGGGAAATTGTTTAAAAGAAAAACTCAAGCTAAAAGAAATTTTCATAAATATGTTTAAACTTTCTATATAAGTGACGTGAATATAAAAAAATATTTGGCCTTGAGCTGTTGAGCAAAGAGGAAATGAAAAATGCCTGCATCTTCTCAACAGCCAAAGAGAGATGGTTGCCATGGTTGTGATTATCGGCAGAGAAAACAGGTCATCCAAAAATCTCTTTTATACACCTTTCTTTTGTCCTCTCTCGCCCGTGAATCACATGGGATGTTTCATACAACCACTGATGGGGAAATGTGATAGTTTTCCAGAAATTGAAGTTTGGTAAACATAAACGTGTTATTATAGGGGTTGGCAGTTAATTTGGCTAGGCAGCGACATTGCCATACCGGCCGCTGGCCTGGCAGAATGGTAGGCAGGCTGATCCCCAGTGGTAAAATTACCCATCTGTTGTGGCACAGTAATGGC